GAGATTGGTAAGTTTAACCTCATTTTACTCTTATAAATGAACGTTTAATACAATAATATTGTGTTGAATCGCTTGATGTTATGTTTTTTTATATTGTTGTTAAGTATCAGTTGCATGTTATCGCGAAAAAATGGTTTCGGTAGATCCAAAACTTGCTTTAAAGGAAAGAATAGTAGAGAGGTTAAACTCAATAACGGCCCCAAGAAAATTCCTAATAATAAAGAACGTCGTTATTGAGTTTAACGGCGTTGAACTAATCTGGCAGAGGTCCGTGATTTAATAGTGCAATGCGTAGTTCATTCTCCGACATTGTAGAAAGACAGGCTTACCAATGAATTGGGCGTACGACCACAATCTAAAGTGGTCGGTAGGATACGATAAAGGAACTACAGTGGGGATCATAAAGAATTGCAAAAGCTATGAAAACTAGATAATGGCAACTCCGCGGAGTAGCAAATCCCAACGAACAAAATATCAATTACCGAATTCCAATCAGTTATACTCATTACTATGGTTAAAATTGAAAAAATTAGATTTTAGAATTGCGAATTCCTGCAAAGCAGCCATTTTGAATTTTTGAGGTACAAATCTGAAAAATAATACCATAATTGTGATCTACTCCAAAATTCCCTCAATTTGAGTATAATATATCCATACTTTGAAGGGATCGAAAAATTATTGCGAAATCGTAGATTAGACAGCCATTTTGAATTCTATGAGGCTCGAATCAGAAAAAAGATACAATATTTGCAATCTACTCTTAATTGCCTTTCATTTGAGTATAATAAAGCTATACTTTCGAAAGATCTAAAAATAAGCGAAAATTTCTGTTTTCCTGTTCCCCCCATACACGGCCCCTGGGGGTCAGGATGAAAAACACGGAATGTATGTGAAATAGATGAATGTTGGGAATATACTGCCAAAATTTCAAACAATAATATTAATTACTTTGGTTTTGAATGAAAAATTTATGATTTTTGCGAAAAAGTCCCGTCATTTTTGAAGCGGCGGCCATCTTGAAAAAATATTTTTTTGCGTAAAACTATTCACCAATATACATCTTTCCACTAAATATGAAGAAAATCCGTCAACTAGTATTTGAGTTATCTTCCGGACAGACGGACGGACTGACTGACTGACGGACAGACGGACGGACGGAGGGCTTCACTATATCCCTACCGAACTTCGTTCGTTGGGATAATTACATGCTGTCGCACATGTAATAAATTCTTACCTCAGTGTATTCAGTGCTCTATTTTCTCCGTCTTAGTAAGTCCAAATATAGTGGAATTTGTGTCCCTAATGACAAATAAGAACTTCAAAAGTTGAATTGGATATTCACATGTTATGCCGACTCTTCAAATGTTGAGGTGATTTTCTCAGGTTGCGCCAGAAGGGAGGATTGGCTCCCATTCTGCATTCTGGGAGTCAACCGTCCTTGGATAACAAACATGGCGATTCATGAAAACATTCATTCGATTTGGTAGGGATTTATCCATTATTTGCAGGTATGAAGCTTTGGATTCATTAATTGTGCTACTTTAGTGAATGGGAATTATTTTTCTACCGTTTGAGACACGAAACTTGGAAATGAGCTCATTGTGACAACTTGTGAACGTTGAGTTTTATTTTTGTCCCCCACTGTACCATTGACCTGTTTTCAGGTTTACTAAAAATAGACAGTGTAATGATCCTTTCCTGAAAATAGCAAGGAAATACACACATGACTTCATACTTAATTTTGTACCAGAAAATAACATGTGCTGAGCAATTGTTTACCAAAATGTTACTTTGAACCTAACAGTAGACTAGAGTCCATTTCACTGCTTCATTTCGTCAGTAGAACGGCAAAAATAAGAAATTGGGAGACCATTGTGCAATAATATATGGAAAAGTATATTCATAATGTACATGAATGACATTTGTATATTTCAGATTTTTTAGTTTTTTGTGCAATAAGCCTGTGCCGTCTTGTAATTTGAAGAATTTCAGCCATGTTAATCTTATTGAAAATAACATGGCAGAGAATCATCGAAATATAAGAGGCCACACGCTTTATAAGCCAAACTAGAAGCAATCCAAGATATACAAATGTCATTCATGTACATTATGAATATACTTTTCCATATATTATTGCAGATGGTCTCTCAATTTCTTATTTTTGCCGTTCTACTGATGAAATGAAGCAGTGAAATGGACTCTACTCTAGTATGTATCCAGAAGTCAGTCTGTTATGCTGTACTACTTTCCTGTGGAAATTGCAGTGAAATTTTTTGCATAAAATTATCAATTAGAGGAACCATTTCTTCAATATTATAAACATTACAAAATTTCAATGAAATAGTAAGGTACAATTAAATGCAATAAAAAGTAACACAGCATATTGTCAAGTGGAAATAAAGCTAGTTGAAAAACAAATGTGCAAATTAATTTTACCAATCGGCCATTTTGAATAGCACTTCCTATGTAAACAAATATTTCATACTACCAAACTTTAACATAGGTGCCTTATAGTCTTTTAGACTTGCTGTTTTAAAGTTTCGAGCTAGGACAGGATGTTTCATGGTTGGTGCAGATTTGAAAAGATGGGGCCAAGGTGATGGATTATGCAAATTTTGTAATTCAGGGATTGATGATCTTTCCCACCGCCTACTGTTATGCCCATATTTCACCTCCCATCGTTCTGTCTTATTTTCTAACTTAAAGAGTGCACTTGAAGGCAATAATGAACATGTTTTTAACCATTTTATATCTCTTAATGTTCAGAGTAAATTACAATGGCTACTGGGCAATGATATACATAGTGTTCATGGGCACGAGATTGAAGTTTTAGTAGATAGATGTATCAAACAATTTTTATCTAATGCATTTGTTTCACCCTAATCTCAATGATACCACAAAATGAATATGTTTTGTATTTTATGTACATTTTTGTAAGAGCACCCAGTATTGGTGTGCCATCGTTTTAAAGGTGTAATAAATAAATAAATAAAATAAATAAATAAATAGTCTGAATATAATTCAGACTAAATAGGATATAGTCTACTACTTTTTTCAAGGCCTGACTGCGTCGCTAACATGCTAAATATAAGAGTTAGCTGACGTTTGGGAGTCTGACTTACCTTCTAAAGGTTAGAAACCGAATCTTAATGAAACCATATCACCTTTGTTCCGTCAACCATGGAGCATTTGCCACAACATCCAAGAGGTAAATCATGGATCGAGAAAATGAATGATTTCCTTGTAAGTTCCGGAAGTTTCAATACGAAAAATTACCGAACATATGTGAAAACCGAATATTTGTTCGTTGTTTTCACGATTTACAGGTTCGTTTGTTCTTCAATGTTTTGGTCTAAATTATAAAGCATCACCAACAGGTCTTACTCTATTAATCGACTAATACAGCAGACGGCTCATATTTCTACGTAGCATTTCATTCAGACCAATAGTGGGAGTGTAGATCACGCAGTTTCGTTCGTTGCGTACTTCACTTGAAATTGGTAATTTTAAATATTGACTACTTCACTTAGCTTGGCGGATGTAGAACATTGCTTAATATTCTTTTAATTTTCACACCAGACATGCTTGGTTGACACGTCAACAAAGTAAAGTTCAAGGGTCAATGCGTTATTTCGTGATAACTACAACGCCTTCCCGGAAGTCAACATTGATGAAAAATGAAAAAGTCGGAAAAGCATTTACGCTAATTTCTATCAAATGCTATGTTTAACTTTATGCATCATCATCGACGCAACAAAGGTGATATGGTTTCATTAAGATTCGGGTTCTAACCTTTAGAAGGTAAGTCAGACTCCCAAACGTCAGCTAACTCTTATATTTAGCATGTTAGCGACGCAGTCAGGCCTTGAAAAAAGTAGTACAGTTGGGGACATAAATAAATGACAGGTGGATTTGCTGAAGTGAGGATTTCCCATGTTAAAAATAAGAGAATTTACAAGAGGCCATACATCAGTGGATGAGATTATACAAAATGTGAAATATACAAATTTTAAGCTGCTATTTCAATAACGCCGTCCAAGTATTGCAAAAACGTAATGAAAAATCCATGGACCCGGAAATAAAAAGTGATTGCGTTTTGTGGACGCAGTGCAAGCCATACTCATACAATCAACTTTGGATGAATGATTTGATAAAGATCTTACCTTCAGTCTCTTTATTTCGTCAGAATCCAATAAATAATTGAAGAAAATTCTATTTCTGAAAGAAATAAAATTTTCTTTCGAAATTTCCTTCCCGGAAGTTGATTTCTGATCGAAATAGTACGAGGCATGTGATAGGACAAAAATTTATACAATACTCGATTTCCGAGCAGTAATCAGTATGAGTCCTACGATTGGCCGGTAGCTTAAGACCTGATTCAAACCATTTTCAATTGGTCAAGTGTGATCACGTGATCATTATTTGAGACTGCATATGCGCAAGAAACTGAACTAAAAAGTTGAACCTCGCGCAGATTGCCCCTAAACTAAACATGCTAAAGCAAAATCAATAGCAAATTGTTTCGAAATTCGCAAGGAAAAGGTGTTTTAAATGGGAGAATATAAGTTATGATGGTATCTGTATCATTCAATGACATACTAGACTTGCAAGAACGCTGATTCAGACCGATAAATAGCAAAAGCAGTGGTACAAAATTTCATCAATTTATTTCATCCAGTGTAAAAACGTGACTTTTGAATTCCCGGGAACATTTTTTCAAGGGACGCAGTTTTTTGAAGGGAGACGCATTTTTTGAAAATCATTACGTCCAAGGGACGCAATTTTGGACAAGCCTACTGAAAACACTGTTAAGGGATATATATCTAGACAATATTGGAAATTATGGGCTTTCAGACCACCATAATTAGGAAATGGTGATCGAAAATCGACCTATCATTTATTTTTGTCCCCAACTGTAGACTCTACTCTAGACTAACACGAGCCTTCATTTTTAAAGAATAACAAGACGCTTCGAATGAGTAAAGAATATATTCCCATACCTCGTGAGTAGTTACTCCAGATCTTTTTGATGTAACAATCACATGATTATCGTCCTGATGATGGAGGACATCTAATAATACATCGTTTTTCAAGAGAGGACATAAAGTTGCAAATGATTTCACTGCCATGCTGCTTCCGGTCTAAACAACTACGGTGGCCTACAGAATCATTATTATCATCATTTATTTTGATTTGAATTGACACAAATATCAGAAATATGACGCCATTTTCAATATACTATTTGTTCCTTCAGCATTATGTTGCTATAGTTTAGGCTCTTATTCTACGCTTGTGTTTCTTAGAATTTTTGGATATGGTACATGACCAGTATGTATGTAAGAGCCATCGTATAAACACGGTGAATCTTCATTGGGGATGTCATGAATCGCCACATATATTTAGGAGAACGATATGTAATTCTGCAATTTTCGATTCTACGATTCTTAGGTAAGTTACCAACACAGTATATTAAAAGAATACTTTTGCAGTTCACCCGAATATAAACACGCGGTACTAAAACTCACCGGGGCGTATCGAAACCAAAACGCCCCGTTTTTTCAAACCTAAGAGTCATAGACTCTGGGTTTTATCTAGTTCAACGTCGTTAAACTCAATAACGGCGTTCTTTATTATTAGGATTTTTCTTGGGGCCATTATTGAGTTTAACCTCCATGCTATTCTTTCCTTTGATGCAAGTTGTGGATCTATCGAAACCACTTTTCCTCGCTAATATGACACTGATACTTAACAATAATATAAAACCACATTTCATCAAGCGATTTCACATAATATTATTGTTAAATGTTCATTTTTAATCGTAAAATGAGTCTTATTCTTACCAATTTATGAGACGAATATTTCAACCGGCAATGTCTGTCTGTGCGTCACCAAAGTAAACTTGGTCAGCGAAACGAAATTGTTCTTCAATATTGATATTTATTATAACCATCCAGTATGACACGAATCTTTGCTTTATTCAAACAGCGCGTGTATTCACCCAAGTTTACTCTATTGTTATTTATAAAAACTTTAAAAAGCAACATTATTGATGCATTTGATTACTGGTAATTTCAGCTCAAAGAAATATAGATGTCATTGATTGTGCTAGATTGTGATTGTGTTGAATAATTGTGCCTAAATATTAAATTATGGTAATTGTTCATGGTTTTCTGCTTGTAAAAACGTACCTAGGAATACACTCAATTGTTTATAACTGGGATCATGTATTTTACTCAGCATACATGCTTTGTAACAATTGTTACATTTTAATAACTTCAATGTGGTGATGTATTGTGATAAGATTACATGTACAGTGATCTCCCCATGTCACTTTTACCGGGGGCTCCCCCTACTTGAAACCAAAGGCCCCCCAGTTGGCACCCAGTTGGCATCTGCACTTCAACTTCTGATTTAAAGAATGAGTGAAGTAAGCACCTACACTGAGATATTGTGAGCGTAGCGAGTGCTGATTTTTTTAGACTTGAAATCTTGCACCCAGTTGAAATTTTTTTTTGGGGAGAACACTGATGTATAAGCATGGTTGTTTTATTCCTAGCTCTTAAATGTATGATGTTCTTAATAAAATTAAACAGAAGTTTTGTTTATGCTATTTTATAAAACATATTTTTCTACAATGATATTTCATTTACTCAATGAGAGAAAAGTTAAACACATGTGTTTTATCACGATATTGGAGCAAGTAAATGTACTTTTAACCTATACTTCACACCTGATTTATCTCGATACCTCCAAATCTGATTTTTTTTCAAATCAACACTTTTCAGCTTTTTTCGATCTCATTACTCTAATGTTAAAAAACCTTACTTGATCGTCATTAAACATTCAGTCAAAATGATGCCATAGTCATACTATCTAGTATTTGAAATGTACATGTAAAAGTACATCAAGAAATATTGCTTCAAATATTGTTGATCAATTTTGAAAAATTTTTGTTTTGGAAAATGTAAATGCTACTACGGGGAGATTCAACATATAGTCACAAAAAGTGAAATATGTTTTCTTGTATTGGACAGATAATATTTTCTTTTACATTATTTTAATTTGCATAACTATGTCATGCTATGTGACCTGAATGAGCCACCTGGTGGTGAAACTGGTAACTACCTACTCGCATCTGAGTTATTACAATGGGAAATCACTGACTTTCTGGGAGAGAAAACTTTGGCACAATATATATTTAAACATGTTAAGAAAAATATCTAATTATTCAGTATCACATGCTTGCGTCTGTCCAAAGATGTTGAAAGCTTTAGCATTTTAGCCAGAAATTTACCATAATTCTGAAAATAAAACAGGAAAAAAGTAGGAAACTTAATCATGTTTATCGCAAGCCTCCTACAGTATTACAATATTTTGTACTTATATATAGGATAACCGGGGTTCGTTTCGTTTTATGAACTTGTTTCGTTCAGTGTTGCTAACGGCGGTTTATTCCTGAAAGGATTTGCCATTTCGATGTTACCGGAACCAGAACAGAGTTTTCTAAACTAAGAAAAAGCCTTCTCCCAACATTTTCATAATTATACATCGATGAGGTTACAGGGGGGTATGTGATGATTTGTATTTATTCATAAGGTATGTATGCATGCGTTGATCACATTATTTCTGTAACGATACCATCTTATTACGGTTTAATTAGTTCCGCATGTCGAAACCTGCTGAACGATTAAATGATCGCATCAAGGGCAAAATCATCATGGAAGTTAGACCTAGCCGGGGCCATAAGACATGTCAGATAAGAAACGAGGCACAGGCTAGGTCTAATGTTGTTGGACTAGGTTTTATCATGGGCTTTCAACTGAAAGCCCATGGTTTTATGGAACAAGTTTGAAGAAAAGTGATGCAGTGTGAGATTCACAATCATCGATTTTGCAAAGACAGGGTAGATTTGAAATTCAAATAAAACGGTTTTGCGGGGCGTTTTGGTTTCGATACACCCTGGATTACTCACTTTGAGAGCCATGTTAGATTTTGAAACTTATGGCTCTCAAACGGGGAAATGGACAGCTGAATAATAGTGACCTTTTAAACACGAATTAAGTCGATGAGCTGCCTACTTTTGTTCTCTAACTATGTTATACATCATTATCATCCTTCCGTGCAAGTATTCGAGCGCTGAAGTACTTCCTTTTCGATCAAGACTTGTAATTGTTAGTCGAATGAATGTTATTTATGAATTATTATTTTCTATAATAATTTATTGTACTGGTAAGTAGATACCTGGTTACATCACAACATTTCCTTATTTCAACCATATGAACTGGTTTCCAAAATAAAAATTTAGACCTTTAGATTCTACAATTTTATTTTTAATGAATAGATTAATAATATAGTGATTCATGTGTCTTGACTTGAGGATGTCGCTTCTTCTTAATACTGTAGGCATTTTGCCTACTTCATATTTACTGCTCATCTTCAATTCAAATTATCTATTTTGTATTCAAATATTTTCATACATTATAGTCTTCAAAACAATTATAATCATCTGTAAATATCAATGACAGTTATTTATCTTCATTTACAATGTTTAATGTCACATATTTCACGGATTCTACATTACTCCCTTACTATGCTTCTGTGATATTTAACCCTTTAGACACTAAAACAGATTGAAATGTATTCAAATATTTTAGTCTTCAAACAATTATGCTACAACTAATTTACAATGTTACAAATTATACATTTATAATTTCTAGACAACTGATTATATACTTATTTGATATTTTAACCCCTTCAACACACATACTGATAAAAAGCGTTTTTGTATTATTTGATTAGAACAATTTCTTTTAGTTGTAACCACACAATTTTCTTCCTCTATATCAGGTATCGGAAAAAATATTCAGATTGACCTAATTCAAGGGGATTCACTTTTCCTTTTCAGAGGTAAATCATGACTCAATCAACATTTTAATTTAGTTGTAGAAATTGGAATAAAATGCTGCATTTTTGGTGAAAATTGGCTCATAATTGGGGAAAATTCGTGGATTAGTGACAGCTTAAGAGATGATCCAATTGATTTTACTTTTATTCTATTGCCCCTTATTGAAGATAACATATTGGCCAAACAATGGCATTTGTTTTTGTGGTCAAATAATTATTAGAACTTTAATGAGAGCTGCAATAATGTACCTGCCCCTTAACACGTGGAGGCGCTTTTCAACAAGTTATAGGAATCCAAACATTTTCTATAATAATTTTTATTCACTAAGAAGTGTACTATAATACTAGTTAAATAGTGCCACGTCCTCCATAAATCCAATAGGAAATTAACATATGGGGGCACTATTCAACAAGTTATAGGAATCCAAACATTTTCTATAATAATTTATTATTCACTAAGAAGAGGTGTACTATATAACTAGTTAAATAGCGCCCCGTCCTCCATAAATCCAATAGGAAATTAACATATGGGGGCACTATTCAACAAGTTATAGGAATCCAAACATTTTCTATAATAATTTATTATTCACTAAGAAGAGGTGTACTATATAACTAGTTAAATAGCGCCCCGTCCTCCATAAATCCAATAGGAAATTAACATATGGGGGCACTATTCAACAAGTTATAGGAATCCTAACATTTTTCATAATAATTTATTATATACGAGGAAGAAGTGTACTATATAACTAAATAATAGCGCCTCTCCACCATAAATCCAATGAGAAATTAACACACGGGGGCACTATTCAACAAGTTATAGGAATCCAAACATTTTTCATAATAATTTATTATATACGAGGAAGAAGTGTACTATATAACTAGTTAAATAGTGCCTCTCCACCATAAATCCAATGGGAAATTAACACATGGGGGCACTATTCAACAAGTTATAGGAATCCAAACATTGTCTATAATAATTTATTGTATACTAAGAAGAAGTGTACTATATAACTAGTTAAATAGTGCCCCTCTTCCATAAATCTAATGGGAAATTAACAAGCAGGGGCACTATTCAACAAGTTATAGGAATTCAAACATTTTTCATAATAATTTATTATACACGAGGAAGAAGTGTACTATATAACTAGTTAAATAGCGCCTCTCCTCCATAAATCCAATGGGAAATTAACACATGGGGGCACTATTCAACGTCACAAGTTATATAAAGGAATCCAAACCTTTTTCATAATAATTTATTATACACGAGGAAGAGGTGTACTACATAACTAGTTAAATAGCACCTCTCCTCCATAAATCCAATGAGAAATTAACAAGTAGGGGCACTATTTAACAAGTTATAGGAATCCAAACATTGTCTATAATAATTTATTGTATACTAAGAAGAAGTGTACTATATAACTAGTTAAATAGTGCCCCTCTTCCATAAATCTAATGGGAAATTAACAAGCAGGGGCACTATTCAACAAGTTATAGGAATTCAAACATTTTTCATAATAATTTATTATACACGAGGAAGAAGTGTACTATATAACTAGTTAAATAGCGCCTCTCCTCCATAAATCCAATGGGAAATTAACACATGGGGGCACTATTCAACGTCACAAGTTATATAAAGGAATCCAAACCTTTTTCATAATAATTTATTATACACGAGGAAGAGGTGTACTACATAACTAGTTAAATAGCACCTCTCCTCCATAAATCCAATGGGAAATTAACATGTGGGGGTGCTACATTGTATTTAACTTAAGGAATTCAACTCTCATAATACTGAATGTATTTGCAGCATGTTCAGAAGCAGCCATTATCCCAATGTCTCCTATAGGTCATTATCTAGAATGTGTGCTAGATGTGCCAGCACCAGGGCTAAGGAGGCTAAAACACGTGAAATGATAGGACGCATGCTACGTGTAGACCATGCAGGGGAATTTGGAGCTAATAAGATATATGAGGGACAACATGCTGTTCTTGGCAGAATGAATGTTGGTCCTATCATACAGGTATATATGTGAATATCATGTAATTTAAAAATACATATACATGTCGTACAGAATTTCTTTCCTCATTTAATCTGGGTTACACTGAATGCATTCATATTCTAAATTAGATTCCAACAACATAGAAGTTCATCGTATATTCAGAAACAGAAGTGCAAAAGTTTCGCTTTGATTTTTAAACATGACATTCATATTTTTTATTTAAAGCACATGTGGGATCAAGAGAAAGAGCACTTGGCTAAATTTGATGAGCTTCTGCCCGAGCACAGGGTACGGCCAACAGTATTATTACCTCTCTGGAGCTTAGCAGGATATATGCTAGGTAAAGTGTGGCACTATATTACTACGCAGAAATACAAATTATAAGCAACTTTTGAATCTGCTATATTGTCACCATTTGCTATATCTGCCAATTAATATGTACATGTATCCCATCATGTAAAGGTTTGAGAGAATTTGCCCCCAAAATAAATGGTAACTAGATACATGTATCAAGATTGCAAGCAATCTTACAGAGGCCCTGTAGGCATTTTTTTTGTCAATAAGAAGATCAGTCAAAGGTCAAATCTCATATTTAAGGTCATATATCAACTCTAGGCGACTTCTATATGATGTTTAAAAAATATTTTTTCAATTTGAAGGAAGTTGAAATAAATTGACCTTGAAAAATTAAAAAATTTGACCTTTTCAGTTTTGGAGTTCTTATATCTCAAAAGAAGCACAAAACCTAATGAAAAGTCAAATGCTAATATGTGAATAACCTTGCCAGGAATCTTTATTTTGACTTTCAGTCCAAAATTGTAACCTAATTTGATGACCTTGATCTTTGACCATGAAAAGTTTACTTTTTTAGAACTCAGTAGGTCTTTTGTAATGAAGCTGACCTAAATTTGAATCCAAAAAATCAATTTGAAAATCAACTTTTTTAACCTTTCAAAGGTCACATAAGGTCAACCAAAGGTCAAATGCAAGGTCAGATTTGAACTTTTGAGAACTTGTAGATGATGTTTAAAGAAAGATTTGTCCAATTTGAAGGAAGTTGAAATTTGACCTTGAAAAAGGTCCATGTGCAGTATGGCTAGTGATTTTAGACGATCATATCCTTCACCATGAGTACTTTCTGGGCATAAATACAGTGTTTTTTATTAAAACAATATGTTTTCTTTCAAGTGAAGTCCCAGTGATGATAAAGATATTAATCAAACAATTCGAAAAATTATAAATAGGGACCCCACTTCAAATGTTTTTTCAAAATGTTGAACTTCTTTGCTGAAAAGAGGATCTTCTTTGTTTGATTTTTATTGCATGAAAACATTATTCAACAAGTGGTCTAAAACATCTTCAAATGTAGAATGGTATTGAAAGTCTAGCTTTGAAGATATCAATTTTCGATGACCAAAATCATGCTGAAAACAATTTTTCATGATTTTTCAATTTGACATGATTTTGTCCTATGGGAAAATAACAAGGGAAATGTGGTTTTTAACTTTATCGCATTTTAATACCCATCCCCTTTTCAGAAGTTATTAATATAATGTAGAAGAAACTTTTGATACATTTAAATTGAGAAAAACAAGATCCTCTTTTTAGAAAATAAGCCTTACATTTTTAAAAAAGTGACAAGGTGGGGTCCTAATCCAGAATTTTTCACGATAGTTGGATTGATATTTACTATCATGGGGACTTCACTTTAAAGAAAACTTATTGCCTTCATAAAAACCACTGTATTTATACCCAGAAAATATTCATGGAGAAAGATATGACTGTCTAAAATCACTTGCCATACTGCACATGGACCTTTCAAAATTTGACCTTTTTCAGTTTTTGAGGTCTTATCTCGAAATGGGCACAACATTTTAATAAATAATCACATGCTAATTTGTGGAGAACCTTTAGAAGAATATATATCTTGACTTTCAATCAAAAATATTGATTTGTAGTCTCGAACTTTTAGAAACATAGATAGTTTTTAACCTAATATGATGACATTGACCTTTATCCTTAAAATTTTTACTTTTTTAGATCTCAGTAGGTCTTTTGTACCAGGTCGTTCAACAAGTTCATGCAAAAACATTCTCATTTTTTTATTTTGTAATGTTTTTCCTTGAAACTTTCACAAATCAAAGAAAAAATACCTACTCATTGAAAGACAAAAATAAATTACTTTTGTTTTGATTGGTCGAAAATAATGTTTGCTATGGTAACCCATTTATGACGTGAAAAAAGTTTAATATTAATTGAATTCTTGTGATTTATTAGTTGCACATAAGGTACACTCTATAACATTGAATTTTTGAATTGAAGTTCCGAACAAGCATGTCACTTCATTAAATGCTCAAAGTATTCTCCTTTACACTGGATGCATAGTTCCTGGCGCTTCAACCATTCTTCGTATTGAGCCCTTAAGCCACAAGGGAATTTAGTGTGCATTGCACTCTGCACAGATGCAGTGAGTTGTCATGCTTGCATAATGAACATCTCTCAGTTCATCTTTCATCTATTTAACACCCCAAAGCCTTATCAGGAAGCCTGCCCTGGTCTAAAATCTCCAACTGCAGGGTATCTCGGATGGTATCCTGAACCATATTTTCTTTAGTAGAGCTCACTTAAGGTGGCGCACTAAATTATCTTGTGGCTTTAGGGCTCAATATGAAGAATGGGTGAAGCGCCAGGAACTATGCATTTAATGAAGTGACATGCTTGATAGGAACTTCAATTTGAAAAGACAATATTTTATAGAGTGTACTTAATGTGCAACTAATAAATGACAAGAATTCAATTAAAATTAAACTTTTTTCACGTCATAAATTTCCCCGCTTGACCAAAACACGGGTTACCATAGCAACTATAACTCTTGACCAATCAAAACAAAGTAATTTATTTTTTGTTTTTCAATGAGTATGTATTTTTTCTATGATTTGTGAAAGTTTCAAGGGAAAACATTGAAAAATAAAAAAAATAAGAATGTTTTTGCATTATCTGAATTATTGAACGACCTGGTACAAAAGACCTACTGAGATCTAAAAAAGTAAAAATTTTAAGGATAAAGAGGTCACTGAAGGTCAAGCAAAGGTCAAATCTGAAATCTAAGGTCAGATTTGAAGTTCTGAGACTTTTTAGATGCTTTTTAACAGAAAAATTGGCCAAATTGAAGCAAGTTATAAAATGATGTCAAAGGAGAACCCCTGATAAGGAGAGCTTTTTTAAAGGGAGATTGCTTTTTTATTCTGGATGTGATCATCATGGAAGTTTAACACTAAATCAGAGATGATCCAAGATATTAGGTGATCTTAGATATTCCAAAAAACAACTTGTGTGATATAAAAATTGCTTTTGAAGAACATTTTTTGCAAGGCAATGAACTCGTTTTTTTTAGGTTAGACTCCTTATTTGTGGTTAAAATCCGTATATGGCCTGATGGGATAGGAACAAAGTGTCACCGTTGTAAGATAGCTATTTATCTCAAATCTTAGAAAATGAAAAGAAATCCCTAGAAATAGGTTTTTGAGACATTTCCACTCATGAAAATGACGGAATAATGGAAGTAATTCGTAAAAAAATCTAAAAATATATTTCTGGTGGAGCGCCCATTGATTTCTTACGAAAACTAAGACTTAGCTTTATTATGTTACTAAGCCACATTCTATTTTGCTCGTACAGTAATGGGAAAGTTATTGATTTTAAGCAAAATGTAACGGTTAAATATGGAAAATTGAATGTTATCGCTTCACAAAAACCGTTCTTTAAACGCACGTTTTAACCATTCGAAGAAAATATTTCAGGATGTATAAATTCACCTCATTTCTAAAAGTATGTAAATATTTCATGATGATCACTTCCAGAATAAAATAGTTGTGTCCTTCTAAAAAGCTCTCCTTATCAGGGGTTCTTTCTCAACTAACGAACGGTAAAAATTTAATGCTGACATAACATGAAAAATTTGTAGAGAATGCTTAAATCTAGTTACAATCTAATTCATTGCAAGAAATAATGAAGTATAAGGACAAACCTTGAGAAACTTGAAAAAACTTATATTTTGAACTTTGACATTGACCTAGATATGAACTAATTTCCCTACAAGACCAGGTCCCGGGACCATATATGGTATAACTGAAACCTTGCTGGAAGTTTGAGAAAAATGTTAAAAGGAATAATACATAAATAATAGAAAGTAAGTCTGATACTGGTTCATCATTACTGGGCAGGGCTATGGCATGTCCAGATAACCTGTTGTCTCTTTGCACTAAATTACCACTAAGACACTAGAGTATACCTTTTATAGGAGCAGGTACATCATTACTTGGCCGGGAGGGAGCTATGGCATGTACTGAGGCTGTAGAGGACGTCATCATTGAACACTATGATGAGTGAGTAAAAAACATTCTGTTTTACCAGAGTGGTGATATTCTATCTGTCTCTTTATTAGTTTACTACTGTAGATATTCTCTAGAGGTTAGTTCATACATTATTCCAAGAAACCCCTCTACTTAACCCCTCTAGTAAGAATGTTTTGTTAATAAAACACAGTGTTGAATAGTCCAGTTGCCAAATAGGAAAATGACCCCAAAGGTCGTTTTGTGGTAGAAAGTTTTTTTCTTTGCATTTTTGGATACCTTATTGTGTCTGCATAAAATATTAGGAAGATGCAAAATTGTGCAGGTTGAGCATTTTTTATAAAATGCCATTGAAATTATGTAGTCATTTCAGAGGTGGGCGTGGCACTTTACTTAACATATTATCATATAAAGGTTGCATCTTCACCTCAATAGACTGATATCTTAAAGTGTAAGCATGCTAGTAATAACTACAGATAGCTAGAAATGATTTATGAGCACAATGTAAAGCAATTAAATGATATATTACGTAACAATTTCAGGTGAATATGGCAATTTTGCTTCTTTTTACTCATTTACACTTTTTTTAGCTGAGCTTCCTAATATTCTTGTAACAATTCCCAAGATATGACCCAGGTATTCTATGTTTAACAACTGAACAAATATAAGCAAGTTGCAAAATACTGCAGGTTTTTATTTTTCATAATTAGGCATTAAAATTATGTAATGATTTTAGGAGGCAGAGTGGCACTTTACTTCAAAAACCATCATATGAAGGTTGTTTCTGCTCAAGAACCAAGTGTTTTATTTATTTAAGTATTAACATGCTAGTAATAACTTCAGATAGCTATAAATGATTGATTTGCAATATTAATGACGTAACAATCTAAGGTGGGTGTGTCAATTTTGCCAACATACCAGGGACATGGTGCTTTACTTTACAAACCACAATATAAAGGTTGTTTCTGCACACAAACCAACTGATGTATTGAAATTAGGATGTTAGTTATAAATTCAGCTACAGCTATAAATGGTTCATGTGTAAAATGTTAATCAATTACATCATTCATGACGTTACAATCTAAGGTGGGAGGTTCAATTTTGTCACTGTTTTCACTTTTTTAGCAGAGTTTCTTCATATTTTGTGACTGCTAAAGTATGACCCAAATATACATCTTCATCAATTGAAAAGGTATTACCAAGGTTTCAAAATACTGCAGGTTGAGTATTCTTCATAAATTGGCATTGGAATTATGTAATCATTATAGATGGGGGTGTGGCACTCTCTCCACTTAAAACACCATATAAAGGTTTTCTTTGCACATGAATCAACTGGTATTTTAAAATATAAGCATGCTAGGTATAACTACAGATATTTATAAATTATTTATGTGCAAAATAATAATTAGTTACATCATAAATTACATCATTTTATATAAAATTGTCGTTTATAATGCTATATCACCTGTTTGATTACCTAAATGCAGATTAAGATGATAATAGCCCCATGTGCTGTATAAATCAGTGCCATGCTACAAACATGTTTCCTGACCAAACCACTGACACATGCTCAGAATCAAGGCTTTGATATGATCTGACAGGGAGGTTCATTCCATAGTATGGTGGCCACAATACAAAGTTAGCAAGAGATAAGGGGCTTACTACATCGCTGTATATCAAACCCATTATGAAGTCAATGAAACTAACAACAAAAATGGTATTGTTGATGGAAGCTCAGAGATTTAAGCTATGATTTTGGCCAAGAGTATATCATATCTACCAACGACCAGCAGCGACAACATATCAGAGTTTCAGAGCAACCCCGATTGTTCCTGTAAGAATATGTACATGCTAACAAGATTTATGACATCCATGGGTATGTTCATGTCTGAATTTGGTATCCAGGAAATGAAAGAAGCATCATTTGCATGTGTATAAAAATGCTGAGTAGAAATTATTTCCCTCTGAATGTAAAAGCTCTTCAGATGCATGTAAACTTCATCCAGTTGATTGTATTGTATTGTATTGTATTTTGTTTACCACCAATGAAGGTGAGCAATACCTCTTGGGTATGTCCCGTATATATACGGTCGTAATTTACGTAATTAACATGGAAGATAGACCCAGAAACCCCTCCTTGAAGGAGCCCTGTGTTCTTTTATGTGCACTTATACATAGACATATAAGTACACACCACAGCCTTTTGTACGAGTTGCGGACCACTCAGTCAAACACCCTGAAGTACTTCATGCAAACAAGCAAATTTAGTCTTGCCTGAACAGGGGATCGAATCTGGGAACAATTGCGTAAGAGGTACCTGTGCTACCGCTGAGCTACAGGGGTGGGCATTTTGAAGATAAAAAACAACAAGAAGCCCCACTCCTAAACATTGGGTGGAGTCAGAACCTAATTAACCAGTCTTCACTATGATGACTTTAACAAGAGCTGAGCGAGAGGCAGAGTAGCTGCTATATATGGGACAGTTAAAGATATGCTTCCCCATGTCACATCAATTATGCCAGATATGGTTATTTATCTGAATGACATGGAATGCCTCCCAGAATCGGTCCAAAATGCATATTTGATAGTATAGCATGTCAGATTAGGCTCTGGTATTGAATGTGGACCGATTTGTTCTTAAAACAATGATTATTAAGTGTGGATGTGGACAAAGCATTACAATAACTTTGAAACCAGGAACCATAAATCTGTACATACAGTATAGTCTGTACGTGTGTAGTCAGCTGAACAAAGATCTTGTGATCTTGATGTCAACCTTTTATTTGAGAGTTGCTATGAAGACTTCCAAAGGGATGCACACAGTCATCAGACAACAGAGGTGTCTGCAAACAGAATCCACAACCTGATCCCAACAACCCCTCTCTACTGCAAACTCTAACCATACAATTAGGAGAACACTGTAAAACGCATACTTGCATACTGCTATGGGGTCAAACCCAGTATTCATTAAACTATATCAGATCCTAATATGAGTTCAGAGAAAGATATCTTGATGAGTTGGCATATGATTACGAAAGAGATGATATTGTCCAAATGTTACTATAAACCGAGTCAACAATTCAGCACACCTTCTTTGAAAGATACCCTTTGCATTCGTTTGACTTCACTTCTTAAAAGAGAGCTTCGTCGTTTAACTAGACTCTGCATACAGGGTCTTGAAAGATTGCCCCTTTTAAATCTTGTAATGTTATTGTTAAAATTCATTTCTTGGACATTAGGTAGATTATATATTTGGAGGCATAGGTGAATTTAAAAACATCAGATTTGTATCATATCCCGAAATATCAAGCAATACGCATTATGCAATATGTAATCTAAATATTGAGTCTACTATTGTATTTCATAATTTGCCATGTCTATTTGAATCGTAATTTATCTTGAATATGATACAGTAACCATTTACAAAGAAAAACTTTTCATTCCAGGTGCGAACCAACCCATACCTGCTGGTATATTAACAACTCTAATATGCCCATTTTTGAAGTGTTTACATAATCCCAATGCTCTTTATGAAATATACTCACATAATAATTATAATAGTAGAATTACACAAATATCATATCATAGTTACATAACTACACGGTACAAATTTTAGGAAGCTCTGCTGAAAAAGTGAAGATGAGGAAATAGAAATTGCCACACCCACCTGTAATTGTTACATAATTTGTTATGCAATTAATTAACTTTTTGCACATATTTCATTTTAGGTATCTATAGTTACAACAAACAGTTATTAACTTTGAAAAACGGTTATTTCATGTACAGGAACAACCTTCATATGATAGTGTTAGGTAAATAGTGCCACACCCCCTTCTCAAATAATTACGTAATTTCAATGCCTACTTAAAAAGACATTCAAATTGCAGAAATGTGCATTAAGGTAATATTTCTGCATAAACATGCACACTTGGATATTCTATTCTAATAGGAATAGTTACAAAAATATTAAGCTCAGCTGAAAAAGTGAAAATGAGTAAAAAGTAGCAAAATTGCCACATCCACCTGAAATTGTTACATAATATATCATTTAATTGCTTTACATTCAGCTCATAAATCATTTCTAGCTATCTGTAGTTATTACTAGCATGCTTACACTTTAAGATATCAGTCTATTGAGGTGAAAATACAACCTTTATATGACAATATGTTAAGTAAAGTGCCACGCCCACCTCTGAAATGATTACATAATTTCAATGTCATTTTATAAAAAATGCTCAACCTGCACAATTTTGCATCTTCCTAATATATTATGTAGACACAATAAGGTATCCAAAAATGCAAAGAAAAAAACTTTCTACTACAAAACGACCCCTACTGTGTCTACCGCTAGACTAGAACCCAGTTATGTCTTAAAAAGGATTAAGATTAAATCTATGCAGGTAAGGTGAATTCCTGGAATGTAAAAAGAATTGTCATCATTGATGATATATCACAATTGAAAACCTTTCATGTCATGTGTACGAAAGGAGAATAATCACAGGTCATTTTGACTGAGTGGCCATCTTTAAAAGTGAAAATGTCATCAGTAAAAGATGAATTTCAACTAAGGTAACGCCCAACAGTCCAAGACTGTGAAAAATAAGTTTTCTGCAGCAGTTAAATTTAAATACCTTGGGAGTATATACGGGGACAACAACCTCAAGAGTGTATAAGTGGTATAAGGGATTCAAATCAAGGGAATCTGAGACAGATAATCCAAAACATCTGATTGGCTGCACTTAGCCAAAATGACCAGTTTCTCCTTTGTGACTCATGTCATGTCATGCCATGGGTGTCAATTGTGATACCATCAATAATGACAATTTTTTTAATTTCAAAGAATCCACCTTAATTTTTGCTTTAATTTTTGACAATTTTGATGTAACTATGACAACCTAATACTTTCTAGCACTTTATAAAAAAATGACTGTTTTTACAAATATTTCATGTTTTGCACATAGCCACAACTGCTCCACCTATCTTACCCCTGGGTAAGATAGCAACTGTATCATTAAGTCTATTGAGCTTCATGA